CTCAATGAAGCTAATAAGGCAGAAGGTACTATGGATACTGATATCATATATAAATCTGAAGTGGATACCTCAGACTCCAAAGTTACTGAACATGAAAAACAAATTGCTTAGTTACATAAAAAAAATGATGAACTACACACTTATCATAAAGCTACTATTAAAAAACTCAAAGTTGCTCTCTGAGTTGTGATCAGTATTTAAAATATGGCATATAACGAAACTCACCTCAGCCACAAAGTTCCAATCCCTGAACTCAACCTATCCAATACCATCAGTATTTTAGAAGATGATACAAAAGCTCAGCCCCTGATTTATCCTTTAAATAATTATGAATCCACAACCTACTAATACTAATACAGTTCTTATCCTCAATATTACCACACATAATACATGTTCTTTTACTTTACTACACAAATAACAAATTCTTTTTAATCTTTATACTCTTCATATTTTAGATATTATCACTTAACAATAAACTAATTTTAAAAATCCTTTACACATATATTCCTTAAAACCCATTTATTCTAATAAATTTGTTTCTTTTTTTAATACTGATCCCTCCTCACAGAGCATATATTTTGGAGTTAGTTTTATCATCAAATGATACTTGGCTGATCATGTATTTCATTACTTTTCCTTTTATTACCACATATATTCGATTGATTTTCAATTTAAAAATAAAACTAAACTTCATATTATTAACATTTATGTTTCTAGCTCAAACATTTAACTATGTCACAAAACCTATAGAAAGACATTAGATCTTATAAACAATACTCACTAAAAGGACTCTTTAGTGATTCTTCTTAGTGATTTTAATGCTGATCTATCAAGAGCATATAACTCTACAAACTCAAAGGAGTTTTTTGATTCGCTTAATGATCTACACTTTATTAACAATTAAAAATCAAAGTCAACCCATGATCTCATTACCTACATGATCAATACTGGCTGTTCTACTATTAATCACATTTTTATTCACTCGATACTTGTCCCTGATCTTATGAATCAAGTAGTTATCAAAGCTGATAATAACATATTTAACCATGCTATAGTTCATGCTACAATTTTATTAACAACTATTAATCCATCATTTGTATAATAATTAATAATAAAAAAACTAATTTTTCAATACCAGGATATGTCTGATGATGATTGAAATGCTTTTGATGCTTCAGTGGATCACTGATATAAGAACATCAGATTAAATTTCTTCACACCAAATAACATTTGCACTATTCACCACCTTAATTTTTATTAGAATCTATTGCAAAAATCAATCATTGATGCTACTACTAAAACTATTCTCAACAAATATACCTTATATTATGCTTAAGATCTAAGATCACGCATCCTTATATCAATATATAAATGCATCAAATTAGTATAAAAGCTTTGTAAATTAAGTAACAAATGCATTACTCAGAACAGTGTTGACCAGAAATGGATTGCTCTATACAAAAAGATATGTGCTTTTTCATCAGAATTTGAGATTACATTTTCAGATATTAGTCAACCACTTATCAATAATATAGACATTACTAAACCATTGTTAATTGATCTTTGCAAAGTTCTTTCCACAACAGCTAAACTTAATGAAGCTGAATTTAAGATAAAAGCAATTAATGAAGCTATCAAATGACGATGTGCTAACATGATTGATGACTAAAAAGCCATGTTTGACTTACTATTAAAAAGATTGTGCAACACTATTATATTAGATAGATATATAAATAACCATAGTTCTGATAAAAAACTTCTCACAAACCCAAAAGATATTCAAAAAAAAAACTGCATGTCATTTCTAACAAGTAGTAGGTTCACAATACTCTAATCCATCACTTCCAAAGGTATAAGAGTAAGTTTACATATTTGATGAATCAATTGACTCTGACATTTACAGCTCTCTTATGCAACCTTATCAAAAAAAGAATAGAATAATATTATTAAGGCACTCCCTAATGATAAAACTTCTGGACTATTAAAAATATCTAACAAATACTAAAACACCTTGGACTCTTTTCATCTAGATGTTTCTAGACCATTATTTGTAGCTGTCTCACACACAACTTATCATTCAGTAGATGGAATCTTACCTTTGTCTACCTAATTCTTAAACCTAAACCTTGAAAATACAATCTTACAAATACTTACCCAATCACTCTACTGGAATGTCTACATAAAACACTGACTAAATTAATCAACGAATGACTTTTAATATCTTATCCACCAATAATATTCTCAAAGGAAGCAACTTTGCTAGCCTTCCTTGTAGAAGTATATTTGAATTGATCTATATTTTTGATAACATTAAATATAACATCTCATTTCACCGCAACTATTTTTAGATCCTATTTTAATATATATCAAAAGATATGACTGTATTAATATTACTATATTAATCAGAACTCTCAGTCATCTGTATATCTCAGAAACTTTTATCAAATTTTTAATTTGATCTTTCTTTCTCATTTTAATCAAATCTTTACTGTGCATAATAATACTGATACTTACCTGGTTCTCTCAAAAATTGACCAAGAAGAGATTATTTTTCCTATCCTATGATACATCTATTATGATTCTCTTTTATGTTTTATACAAAATTCACCTCATAGTTACACATAACATATTAACTGGAAAGTTGACATCACTAAATGTAAAATACAAAGTTTTTCAAACTATGTCTTTACCCTTACATATATGGATAATATACTCTGGATGACCAATTTTAAATTAAACCTCTAAAATATTATGATCATTACAGACTCATTTTATACACTTAATAGCATTCAAGTCAATTGGAATAAATTAGTACTGATGGTTAATAATAAGGACTCCAATCCAGTTAATTTCAAATTTAATGATAAAGATATCTAGTTTACTCTGCTCCAATATAAAGAATCTACCAGATATTTAGGAATCTGAGTCTCCCTTTTCAACAACAACCAATTCATTATAAATTAAATTTGGGATGAATTCAAGAAAACTAAAACTGTACTCAATAAGAAAAAACTGACAGTTAAGCATATGGTTGCAATATTTAATATAATAGTGATCCTTCATATACTATATAAAACTAAACTTATATTTGTTTTTTGTTCTACTTATGATAGTCTAATGACATCCTTTAGAACTTTCTTCAAAAAGAAATTAGTTTTTTTAAGATTCGTATTAGCATCAGTGATACATTCAACATTTGGGTACAATCTCATACACCTTTATGATAAACAATTGCAAGCAAAATCATCTGATCTCTTAAAAATGATCAATGATATCTCAATTCTTGGATCAATATCACACTTGTACAATTTGTAACTTCAATTACTCAAATGGTTACCATTATCTTCCTTAACCAATTAGCCTTATGATAAAATAAAACCCTTTAAAGAATGGTAGTCTTGCTTTCTGTCTGCCACAAAACATAATGGTCTTCACTTTTAGCAATGTATTGACAAAGACTACAACTTAAGACAAATTGAAGAAGGCTTCACTTCCATTTTACAATTCCTTACTCTGAAATTTTACTGGCAAAACATCTTGCAATTACGTACACTATCAATTTTATATATTAACCAACTTTTAATGATGGATGGTTTTAATTTATTCACAGCTTTTGACCTTAATATGATCTATGACTCAGTATTCTATAGTTCAACTAACTGAAATCAAAAATTTTGATCAATGCATCTGCTAGACAATTGTCCAATTGATGTCTTTCTCATATATCTCTGATCAAAATGCCAACACAACCAACCATATTCATAACATCATCAACAGGTATTATACAAACTTATACAGTATGATTAGCAATATATGTATTATACAGTTTTTTTAAAAAATGTATATATGGTATGTATGCTTTAAAAACTATACATGTATAGATCATCATTTTACAAACTATACATATATAGAATTGCATTTTCTAGAAACTATATATCTATGAAATTTTTGACAATAAATTAATTTTCTATTTTTTCGTTAAACTTTTGATATAAAAAAATATATAAAATAATTTTTAACACATTTTTAATTTATATTTTTAAGAAAAATGTATTATATTTATTTACTTTATTATTTATTGATTAATATGAATTGTATTTATTTCTAATTATTTTCAAGCTCTTTACATAATTTAATATTTTCTAATTCTAATTTTTCAATTTCAACTTAAGCTCTACAATATACTAATTGCCTTTCAGCTAATTTTATCTTTTGTTCTTCAATATTGATTTCTGAACATAAGTTATTTTCTTGTTTATTATCAGGTTCATTAATATTGATTTGGATTTTTTAACTTTTGAACTATTTATAATAGTTTTTCTTTTTACACTTTTTTATCAGATATTTCTTGATTAGTTAAATCATGCATTATTGTTTTTTCTAATAATATATTTTAAAAAAAAATTAAAATTAATTTATTATTAAATAAAAATAATAATAATAATAATTTACTTTTAGATTTTTCCTTTAATACTTCTTTATGATTTCTTTTACAAGTACCTTTATATTAAATTATTTAAAAAGTTAATAATAAAAAAATAATTTTGTATTATTTATTACTTACTTTTTTGTGTAATAGTTATTACTTTCTTTTAATTTCACTTTTATCTCTTTTAGTATAAGGAACTTCAGATTTATTATGAATTTCTTTTATTTTAAAAACACGTTTATTTAATTTTTTATCTCTATAAAATCAAATTAATTAAAATTTTTATAATTTAATATTAAAGAAATGATAAAATATATATATTTTACCTTAAAATTGCTGTTATAAATTTTAATTATTTTTTTTTCTATTAGCTTGAATATGTGCAGCTTTTGCAATATTAATATTATTTTTATATTATTCTCAAATTTTGTTATTCATATTTGAAATATATTTATTTAAAAATGCTAAGACATAAAGTTGACGATAATATAGAATCCAATCTATTAAAATAATTGTATTAATTAAATTTATAAAATTATATTATAATTAAAAAAATTTTAAATAAAATTACCTATAATTCATTGATCATCAAAGTTTTCAATTTTTTAAAGCATTTATAAACCTCTTCAACATTAGATTTAGATGAAATTGATGCTGCTAATGTATAAACTTCATTATTAAAATCTTTGGCCATTAAATTTCTAAAATAAAAAAAATTAATTATTTAAAATTTTAAAAATATTAAATTTATAATTAAAATAAAATATTTTACTAATTAAAGTGAACTAAATATGATTTAAAAATATAAGTCAAATGTGTTTCCTAATCTTTACTAGAATCTCTTTTTGATAAAGCTAAACCTAATCCTTTTGTTTACCTTGCATCAAGATCGCCTAGAATACATTTCCAATTTATACTATCAATATGATAAAATTTTACAGAAATTTTATTCAAATTTTCAATAATTTCAAAAAGTTGAGTAAATAATCGTTCATATGCATTTGCTATAAAAATATTGGTATAAATTCAGCAATATAAAGAACTAAAAAAAATTTAAAATTAATTTAAATATATAAAAAAAAAAAATAATAATAAATAAACACTTGCTTAATTTATGCATATTATCATATATATTAATTTTGAATTCATTAATATTTTCAGAAACGCTTTTAAATGTTAAATCAATTTGAAAACATTTTAATTCTTATAATGCTTTTGCTTAAAAATCATGTATATAT